GCTGCATCACCCCCTTTTGCTCTACCTCCTCCCCCACCATCCTTCCAATTCTGTTCCCCGGCCCTCCGCCTCCTCTTCTTTTCGGGGGAAATCGTGCACCTCAGAGGCGGCCGGGCGTCTGAACTGGATGATGGACCTTGAAAAGGAGGAGGAGGAGGAGCAGGAGGAGGAGGACGACGAGGAGGGGGAGGAGGGCAAGATCTACATCAACAGCCTCCACGAACATCCACATGATGCACCGTTCAGTGAGCCTCCTCCCAAGCAGATCATGCGATTAAACAAGGCTCCACCTAAGCCCAAACCGACGAGCCGACACGACACAGGACAAACCATAGACTAAGCGCACAATGATAGCAGCCCGCCACGACATTCACCTCCAATGCTCATACCTCTTCTATTACCGCAGAAAAAAACAACAACATTTGAGCCTCGCGATACGCAATACATAGCCACGTACACACAAGTGTCTACTCCCGTGACATTCCCACTCTCGCTGGTGCGCCTTACACCCCATCTTTACCCTGTCGCGGGTCCGACACGCTGGTGGCTGTCACTCTCGATTGCAGGTTTGGGGTACACCTACAAAACCCTGGGTCGCAGCCCTGGTGCTGCTAGTCACGTTTGAGGGACCCTGATACAGGCGACCCTCCTTTTGCAGCCGCACGCTGTGCGCACATGATTCCCCACATTACCTTGCCTCTATACTAATCCTTAGTCCTGACTTCCGCACCCACTTCACAGGTTTGGGGCCCGCCAAAACAAAACCTGGGTCGCAGCCCAGACGTTGCTAGTTTATTTTGCACAAGACGCCCCCACTGAGTGGCCTGATGTACCACATGCTGACTTCGGTGCCACACCATACGCGTGAGCTGTCTGCCCACGAGTACGGGAATCGCAAACCAATTGCCTATTACCCTGCAGTAGCTACCAACCGCATATGGCCGACTGGTTGTTGGTAGATCCTCGCTCCGCTTTCACTCCCATCCACTGATACGCTTTACACCCTTTCGTTTCTCCGTCGCGTTGTCCGACGCGCTGGTGGCTCCTCAATCTCAGAAGCAGGCTTAGGGCACGCCTACACAGCCCTGGGTCACAGCCCTAGCATTGCAAGTCACCTTACAGTCGCGCGCTGTGCGCACTTGGGTACCCTACAGGGTACGACCCCATCAGACAACTAGACCTTACAAGCCTGTAGCTCCAGGTTCATACTCTGCGCAGCCGCATTCATTTTCTGATTGACAGGCAAGCCTTTCGGGCCAGCCTAGAACTACTCTATCCTCGGTTGCTCATCCCACTCGCATGCGTACCCCTCGCACTCCTGACATACGGTGACGGTGGGCCCTCCACGCAGGAACCGAAGAGCGGGCCCACTGCTGGCTGAAAGAGTAGGCCTACTGCTGACAAGAGGGACGATGTACAAAGCTTAATATGGCCATTCCAGCACCTTTGAACTACAGCACTAGCAACATCCAAAGACCTGCTAGCTTAACAAGGTTCGGGGTCAAACAACACCGTGGGCAGCAACCCACAGACTGCTATAACCAACTCTTTTCGTTTTTCGCAGTCGCAGCCTGTCAAGTCGACACGCACTTGGAAACAAACAAGATGGGCATGGACGTGGATATGGGGGTAGGGGAGATAAACGCAACGGTTTGGGTACACCAAAACTCTGGGCACAACCGGCAACAGCCCGGGAACTGCTCACAGTGCCGCGTTGTCTTACATATGGCGATCGTTGCGCCTGTCTAGTATCGCTGGTCACGTTCGAAGGACCCTGATACAGGCTACCCTCCTTTTGCAGCCGCACGCTGTGCACACCAGCAGCCTATTACCCTGCAGTAACTGCCGGCCGCACATGGCCGACGTTCTTTTGGTCTCGAATCGGGCAGATGTTCCTCACTCCACTCTCGCTCCCATCCACTGATGCGCCTTCCACCCTTGCTGTTCTCTCCGACGCGTTGTCTCACGCGCTGGTGGCTCCTCAATCTCCGAAGCAGGTTAAGTGCTCGCCTACAAAACCCTGGGTCACAGCCCTCGCATTGCAAGTCACCTTTGCAATCGCACACTGCGCGCACGTGCCCCCCCCTACAGGGTGCGACCCCATGCGACACATAGTGGTTTACAAGCCTGTAGCTTCAGGCTCTTACTCTGCGCAGCTGAGTGCATTTCTGCCTGACAGGCAGGCCTACAGGCCAGCCTAGAACTACTCGTCCTCGTGTCAAGCTCAACGCTCTCGTCCTTTATGTCCCTGACCCCCACACCCTCATCGCAGGTTTGGGGCCCGCCTACAAACCCTGGGTCGCAGCCCAAACCTTGCCAATCTAGTTTGCAATATACGCCCCTACCAAGAGTGGGCTGACGTACCACAGGCTGATTTTGTCAAGCGTCACACCATACGCGTGGGCTATCTGCCCACGGGTAAGGATATCTTGCACCAACTGCCTATTACGCTGCAGTAGCTACCAGCCGCACATGGCCGACTTTCTTTTGGCCCCACATCGGGCAATTGATCCTCGCCGCGCTCTCGCTCCCATCCACTGATGCGCGTTACACCCTTTCGTTTCTCCGTCGCGTTGTCCGACGCGCTGGTGGCTCCTCAATCTCAGAAGCAGGCTTAGGGCACGCCTGCAAAGCCCTGGGCCGCAGCCCTAGCATTGCAAGTCACCTTTGCAGTCGCGCTCTGTGCGCACTTGGGTCCCCTACAGGGTACGACCCCATCAGACAACTAGACCTTGCAAGTCTGTAGCTCCAAATTCATACGCTGCACAACCGCGTTCAGTTTCGGATTGACGGGCAAGCCTGTCGGGTCAGCCTCGAACTACTCTATCCTCGGTTGCGCATCCCACTCGCATGCGTACCCCTCGCACTCCTGACATACGATGACGGTGGGCCATCCACGCAGGAACCGAAGAGCGGGCCTACTGCTGGCTGAAAGAGCGGGCCTACTGCTGACAAGAGGGACCATGTAACAAACTTACTATGGCCATTCCTGCACCTTTGAACTACAACACGAGCAGCATTCAAAGACCTACCTGCTAGCTTAACAAGGTTCGGGGTCAACCCAAACCGTGGGCAGCAAACCAAAGACTGCTACAGCCCACTCCTTTTTTCTCAGTCGCAGCCTGTCAAGTCGGCACGCACCACGAAAAAAGGGGATGGGCATGGACGTGGATATGGGGGTCGGGGAGATAAGCACAACGGTTTGGGGTACGCCAAAGCTCTGGGCAACAGCCCGAAAACTGCTCACAACGCCGCTTTTTCTTACATCTGGCGATCGTTGCGCCTGCCTGGAAACTGTACATACAGAGACGGCACGACCAATGAATCCGTTATCTTTTCTGTACTATGTTAGTACGCTTGCTTACTTACGCAGGCCGACAAATTTTGCTCTTGAGCCCCACATGTCGAAAGCGACGCGCCGATCCCATCTGTTCTCCTCCCACCTCCTCTTGCCCCTTCCCTCATCCTTCCCCTCTTCATCCTGGGAAGACCCCCCGTCCCCCGTAGAATCATAGCATTGGTCTACAGCTCCACAACTCCCTGGATAGCATGATGCTTCACTTGCGGTGCTCCGCGGATCCCATTTCCCCTTGGTCCCAGATGTTAATGATTATTATCATTATTATTACTATTATTATTATTACTATTATTAATATTATTATATTTATATTTATGTATATATATGTATCCCCGGCAAATAAATGGATCCATCCTTTTTTCACACACAGGAAATTGGATCCGCGCAACACAGAAATAGGATCCACGAAACTCTCCCACACCCGAAAAGGGATCCAACTGGATCCATTGATGTGTTCACATTTGTTGTCCAAGAGGAAAAAAACTGTCGGCCTGGGGACGTATACCAAGGTCCATGCCGTCCTACTGTAGTTGTCCAGCTTCCACGACACTCACCATCAATATTAAGCTTGTTATTCTATATTTGTTTTACCTTCGGTTGTTGTGGTTATCCCACTGAGGTGAGTGTCGTCACATCTGGCGGGCGCCTACTCTCACTAACAGTCTTCTCCAGCGCTCGTTCTCTTACATGTTCCGCAGCGCCCGCCAGGTTTGTTTGACCCGAGACGTTTTTTTTCGCCACCACTAACGCCACAACTTCACGCTCAGGTTGGTCCAACGTAACAGGAGGAAGAGGACACAATGACATAAACACAAACAATCGGAAGTCCGCGCGGGCTTCTTGGATCGGCGCTGGAGCCCTAATTACTCGTGCATCCTCGGGGGCACCACGGCGCCCCTTCTCAGTCGGGCTGCCGAAACACGGAACACTCAGTACGGCACGAGGCCCCTGTTTGGCTCCAAACGCGCCTGTGTGGACGGGGAGCGCTAGAGGTAAATCGGGCCTGTCCTCCTACAGGTGGATTGGGACGAAAAATAATCATAGTCAAAAAATGCCCCGAAATGGTCAAACAATACTCAACAAATCGTCCCCAGACTATTCTTTTACTATTTCTGAACATTCCTCCTGTAGAGGGACAGGCTCGACTTAACGCTCCAGAAACAGCCACGGGAGGACCCGAGGAACACCGAGCCCCGGCCGAACCCAGACTGCCCCCCTTGCTTCGGCGTCTTAGCTGCAAGAAGCCCCTCTCCTGCAGCCCTCGACCCCCCCCTCCCGTCACCGCCTCCCCCGCTCACGAGACGCCCGCCCGACCGCGGCAAAAGCAACCTCCGGGGACCCGCTTCCTCCAGGCCTCGCTGGAAAAGCTTCGACCCGCGAGAGCGTGACGCGTCCGAGGACCTCGAGACGGGGCTGGACCTGAACGTTGTTTTTCGTTATGTTATCGTTTTTTGTGCTTCGTTTTGCTCTGCCTGTTTTCCTGCGCCCCCTTGCCTGCCAAAACGGAAAACAAAACGCGGCCGAAGTCCAGCAAAACAGCGTTTAGGTCCAGCCCTGCCTCGAGACTCGGCGAGGACGAAACGCGACTTCGGGCGAGGGCGCGGGGTGAGCGCGAAGCGAGCACGGCGGGGGTGCTGCCGACCAGGCTGCCCGGCGCATCGCGCATGAAAGTCAAGCCGTGGTGCCCCTCCCTCCCCCGCTGGGTGGGAGGAGGGGGAGGAGGAGGAATGAGGGGAGGGGACGGAGGAGGGGGAGGAAAAGGGGAGGGGGATTTCTTTGGACGAGGACCACTGCAGTGCGCCAGGAGCCTCACTGTGCAGACGGAGGCTGGAGGCGCGAACAACTGACCTCCTGCCATGCACCTGCGAGGATCAGCCGCGGCTGACGCAGATGGAGGGCTGGCGCTGCGCGAGCTCGTGCCTAGCCAGGCTCACCGAGGGAACCCCGGGACAGCTCTCCAGGCGGGCGGCCGCACGGGGCGGCCAAAAGGAGCCCGCGGGAAGCCCCGCCCGAGGCCTCGTCGAAAGAGGCCTCGGCACATGCGGAGCCGCGTTCGTGGCCTGTCTTCCAGGTCTCGCGGCGGCCCAGGACCGGCGGAGGCTGAGTTGGCCAGACGTTGATCCGACGCCCAACACTTGCAGGTCTCACAACGGCGGGCACAGCGATCGTCAGTGCAGCAGGCCACCCGGCATGAGCGGCCGTGAACATGGACAGAGATCCCCCTGGATCTCGCAGCGGCCAAATCAGATGCCAGGGGGAGGCTCCCACGCTGCCGGGCTCGTTGAGCTCAGAGCGCTGCCCCCTGAGGCAACGAATGCATTGTCAGGCTGTGAGCTCGGACCCACTCGTGAGAGAATTTCGGAGCGGGTGACGGACGCACGGAACGATCGCACGGCACCCCGTCGAGCTCAAGGCGAGGCCACAGCAGGAGAAGACTCGCCGCTAGGGTCGTCACGGCTTCGGCGACAAGGACAGACTGGCTGACATCCTGTTGAAGCTCAGGCGAGGCCTCAGGATGCTGGAGAGAGCCTCGCTTGGCCGCCGCGTCGGCCAAGTGATTACCCATACGCAGGAATTCCCCCGCCTCATCGAAATCTGCATTGATGTCCTAATGGGCCTTAACCTTCGACAAGCTAGAGATCAAGCAAGACTGAGACAGCACCTGCAGCATGACTCCGCTGTACACAAGCTTGTGACTGACCTAATCAGAGATAGCTGGCGCGTGGCACTGCTGGTAGAACTTCAAGCAATCAATGTAACTATGACTGGGATCCCCGACCAGGAACGCAGAACTTCCGAGACCCGCATGCTCTCCCCCTTGGCTGGTCTGGGGGAGGTCCCCACACACAGGCGCCAAGACAGTACAGCGAAGGGTTGCCTCGCCCAAACTGCGCGAGACAATTCACGCAATGGGTGTTTCGAACAATAAAACGTAATAAAAGATATGTGCTTCACAGCCCAACCCTAAGTCCGACAAGGTCGCTGTGCGACTCTATGAGCACACATGCGTCGGTGAGGGGAGGAGAGTAGATATCGCCAGGGAGGCGAAACTACCCCCTTCGTAAAAAGCAAATCCAAGCTGGGGTCGCTGGAGGCATCAAGAATCCAACTTTTGACAAGAGCCTCCCGCTACGCAGAACAAGCATTATACAGTCCTCACCCGATGGAACATAACATCGTGCTTCCCACACAAGGTCACACTTGGGACAACACCTGAGCCCCCTAAACCCAAGACCTATACTTCGATTGTATAATATCACCGTTACTGCACCCGTAAACTTCAGCCCCGCAAAGCAGGTCTCACATGAGTCCAACCATGAGAAGTGGCTTGCAACTTTTGCCGAGGCACGCTTTGGGTTTGACCACGCGCCGAGCACGACGATTGATACCAACAACTCGAATCTTACGACGAGAACCCCTTGCCTTGGTCCTACTCGACTTGCCCTGAACACATGAGCCCTTATCTGAGCAACATCTGTAGTTATAGGCCCAACACATCCACCTACAGCGTCACTAAATTCCTTAGCAACCTGTTGGGACGACGGGATGAGGCATGCCTTGTCAACTGTGACCCCGCTTGTCCGATCGATTCAGGGCGACACAATCAAAAAAGAACATTCGATGCAGGGCCCTCGAAGCTGCCATATGATCGCGCACTACAACAGCAGCACTGCTGACACAACTGAGAACACAATCATCAATGTAGACATCAAGAAGAGGAGGAGGAGGAGGAGGAGGAGGAGGAGGAGGAGGAGGAGGAGGAGGAGGGGAAGGAAGAGGAAGGAAAGGCGGGGAACCTCTGCCCGACACAGGAGCGTGTGCCCCCGAGCCTGACCCTCGACACAGGGGTCAGGGACGAGGGGTTCCCCAGGGGGCAACTTCCAGGCCGTGTGGCACGAGGAGGCAGGGAAGGGAGGAGGAGGAAACGAGGCGGAGGAGGAGGAGGAGGAGGAGGAGGGCAGGAGGGGGGAGGAAAAGGGGGGATGAGGTGGATGATGGAGGATGGTGGGGGTGATCAATAGGAGCAAGGGGGAGGATGGCGACGGGGGGGATGAGGGGCGAGACAGGAGGAAAATGTGTATGAAGACGCAAAGAAGATGGGATATATGGGAAATGAGGAAGCATGGGTAAGGCTCGGTACCGGGGCTTTCAACCATGCAGACGACTCTCGACATATTAATTTCACCGTTCTGGCCCCTAGGGCCATCACCGGGTCCCAAGACTCCTGCCAACCGCCTCTCAGGATGATGAGCTTAGGGGAGAATCGAGACTCCTAGGGACCCCACGTTGGAAACATCAAAATGTCATACGTCTGGGACTGAGGGGAGGCAAGACTAGGCAATGGGGAGGCGAAGCACCAAGGAGGAGCAGGGTGAGCCAGATGAGAAGAAGGACGACTAGGGATGAGGGGTGGGCTTGGTGAGTGCACGGGGTCATGGGGGCAACCTGGGCGGGAGGCGGCGAACGAATGAAGACAATGAGGATGCAGGGCTCGAAGAAAAAACGACGGCAAAGAAGGAGCACGAGCAAGGGCACTGAGGAGGACGATGATGAGGGTTGAAGGAGATGGAGGGATCATTTTCTGCTAAACGCGCGTCTCTGTTGTGCCAGAGCGCGCAGCACTCCGCATCGCTGGCGCCCGCGGGGCGCGACTGTAATTTGGTCAAGGGCCCTGGCCAAAACGGATCAGCATCGGCGGGCATTGCCTCGGCGGGGTACCCACAGCAGGCCTCAAGGGGCCCCCAGAAGAGCAGCGGTAGCAGCCACGCGATGAAGGAACAGGAAACGAGGAAGTAGGATACCATGGGCTCTGGCAGCTTCTATGGACTCCTGGCCGTGGAACTGGGCAATAATGTATGGATGGCCCGCTCTATCAGGTCGAGACCGTCGACGTCGAGGGTGCCGTCGCGTTCCTTGCCTCCTTGTACGGACGGAAAACTCCTCGCCGCCGAAGCAGCACTAACAAACTCTACTTGCCATTGCCATCGCCTCCTCGCGGAAGGTCTGGTTCCCATCAGCGCTGTCGCGCCGGGAGATTATCTCACTCTCTCTCTCTTTGTCTCTCTCTTTCTCTCTCTCTTTCTCTCTCTCTCTCTCTCTCTCTCTCTCTCTCTCTTTCTTTTTGACCACGACCAAGATGTTCTCGAGGCTCTTCGCCTTCGGGTAGTCCTCGACAGCATTGAATGTGGCATCGTCTGGCACAGTCTTAATAATCCGGACTTTCGCCAACTTCGCTCCTTGGAGGCAAACCAGCGGGTTCCGGGTGCGTGCTCATCTTCTCCTTGGCAAGCTCCGCTGGCTTCTCTCCGTGGGTGGCCTCGTCTCGCCCATCGCTCAATCCTGACCTTCACGCATCTCCCGACAAATAGATGTCCGAGATCGTAGACCCTGATTCGCATGCTGAACTCTGGGTCCAAGATGGCAAGAAAGATGCACGCGACCGTGTCATCTCCGTCGTCCGAGCCGGGACTGTGACTCTGCGCTCGAGCTGCAGATGCTGCCGTGCTCGAGGCTATCGTCGCGATGCGGAACGCCGGGGTGGACGCTGCTTCTCGTGCCGGAATCTTTCCGCCCCTGGCTACATTCGCCAATGGCCTTGCCGAACTCGCCCACTCGGTGCCGTAGTTCTCGAAGTTGCCGAACTGGATCCACTCGCTGTCGTTGTCCTCGAAGTCGCGGCTGCGCCAGTCGACGCAATCGGCGCCGCTGTCTCCCGGTGCGCCGGCGAGCGGGGGCGGGTGGATCTCGAGCCTCGTGGAGCCGAAGTGCGCGATGATGGCCGCATGGCGCGTCGAAGACTTGGTAAAACAATATGTCGCCGTCGCCTCAGTGCAAGCCCACCCGGGACGTCGTCTCCTGCTCTTGTCTGCTCTCTCTCTCTCTCTCTCTCTCTCTCTCTCTCTCTCTCTCTCTCTCTCTCTCTCTTTCTCTCTTTATACCTACATATCGTTTTTTTTTTTTTTTTTTTTTTTTTTTTTTTTTTTTTTTTTTTTTTTTTTTTTTTTTTTTTTTTTTTTTTTTTTTTTTTTTTTTTTTTTTTTTTTTTTTTTTTTTTTTTTTTTTTTTTTTTTTTTTTTCTCTCTCTCTCTCTCTCTCTCTCTCTCTCTCTCTCTCTCTCTCTCTGTCTCTCCCCCTCTCTCTCTCTCTCTCTCTCTCTCTCTCTCTCTCTCTCTCTCTCATCGAAACCGCTATCCGCGATGGTTTGTCGGCCGCCGCGCCGCTGTCTCGTTGGCGGTCGCCTCCAAGTTGTCTCCGTCGGTCAACGCGCGGGCCGGCCTGCGAGCGGGCGCGTCTTCGATCTCCTTCAGCCTGCACTCGCCCGGGGAGAGGAACTCCTGCGAGCATTGGCGCGGGAACTGCCCATGTTCGACGGCCTAGCGCAGTAGGCCTCCGCCACGAGGGTCGACCGCGCAATCCTCCTCGCGCGGAGGCTGGCCGATAGCAAAGGCACCTTCAGGTCGAACCTGCCTTCGGTCGCGCCCCCTGGCCCGTTCCCCATGCGCAGCGCGGCGCCAACCTGACTCTTCCCGCCCGCCGTGTCGGCGGAAAACGAGCCCCAATGCGCGGGCATTGCTGCGGTCTCGGCATCGGCCGCGCGTCTCTGGAATAATTTGCCGCGCGCGCCGGCCACCTTCGCGTAGTCCGCTATCTTGCGAAGTCGATCAGTCGGCGGCCCTCAAGCCTGAGATGCGCCGGGCCAGCTCGTTCGGTTCGAATGCAACACCCGGCCTCGACGCGCGGGCAAGCCAGCGCAGCTGCCCGCTTCCCTGTGGTCCTGGGGGTGCGTTTTCTAGTCCCATCATCATGATAGGTCCATGATGCATGATACATGATCATGTAAAGTCT